GTCATCTACAGACAATAAAGAGGCTAATGGAGCAAGAGATGGAGGACCGTGCAAGGAGGGAGGCTCGGCGCAGGGCACCGGGACAGTAAAAGGGGACAGCAGGCATGATGGGAATAGCTGGGAATAAGGGAAGGGTTGGTAACCAGGCAACAAGAACTGTCATCTTTCCTTTTGCGCATTTGAATTTTCTGAATGAACTGTGATGAGATAGCTGCTAAGCTCGAAGCGGCTAAGGATTGGGTAACGAATGTTACTTCATATAAGTCGTTGCTTCTTCGAGAATTGGCACGAGAGTTTTTTTGCACTTAGAATGAAATTTTGGATGGCTGGGTAGATTAAGAAAAAGAAAAAGGGAAAACAGCGGGGATCTAGACGAAGACGAGTCTGTAATGTTGTCTATGCATTTGAACTCTGTCTCCTTATTTTTCCTTGTAAGGACTGCAATGCAACTACTTTTTGGATTGAGGGAGCTAGTAGAGGGTGAGTGATCAGGGCTACTTTGTATAAGTACTTGCTCCATTAGGGAAACATGAGCTTTTTGGGTAGTAAGAAAGGGATTGGGGGTTGGCTGACTTTATGGGCAGCGGCATGTGAGCTCTTGAACGTTGGAAGAAACATTCATGACGAAAGGCTTTCCTTTGAGTTATGTATCCATGATTGAATGAGTCGCTCTACGAGTCCTTGTGAGAGGTTAGGGGACCTATGGGTAGAGAGGCACCCTCTCCCCTAGGAGCCTAATCCAACCTACCCCAGGTAATCCCAGAGCATTGAGAAGCATATGAGAAGTCAGAAAAATGGCAGGGAAACATTGAAATGATGCAACACCCCGTGCAATCGTTGAACGGTCGGGCGGGCTAGTGCTGCTTGGGGTCGTGAGCCTCGACTTGGGTACTAGACGCTAAGTCGGATGCATGGATGGATGTAAGAATGACAAAAGACATGAGGAAAAGGAAGAAGCATGCGTAAAAACCTAAGACGATGGCCACCCTCTAACCCCCGAGACGAGATAGGATCCGTGTCCTCGAGGCCCACCCCCTCGGGCGCTAACATTGCAATGGACAAGGATGACCCTAATCAGGCTGCCCAATTGAAATGGATAAGGATGGTCCTAACCAGGCTGTTCGATTGCAATGGATAAGAATGGTCTAACCAGGCTGTTCGACTTGGAAATGGAAAGAACGACCCTAACCAGGTTGTTCGGAATGGCCCTTGACAAGGGTCATTCTCTGGAAATGGCACTGGGGTCCCCTTGCATGGCTGCTTGTGATGCATGGAACCGAAAGAGTGGAACTTTGGAAAAGAAATTGGAAAAGCTGAGCCTTGGAAAAGACATTGGAAGAGATATTGGACTCATCCGTGGAAGGGATATTGCATTGAACATTGGCCTGAGAATGAGCACTGGACTGAGATTGAGCCTGGGAATGAGACTGAGCATCGAAATCGAATTGACCATTGGAAAAGGCATTGCATAAACAGGGGACCCTAGGCAACTGGAAATGGACTTGGAAAGAGCCTTGAAATGAAATTTCTCTTTTTTTTCTAGTCTTTGGCCTCAGCAAGAGGGGGATATCGGCGCATGCACCGCAACCCCAAAGACCTCTATCCCCTTGAGGGAAAAAGTCTCAGCGCGACCTGTTCCTCTTGTAAGAGGATGAGGGTTAAAGGAGTAAGGCACCCACCACTTGGATCGGTGCGGGACGTCCGGAACCACCTCCGACAAGGAGCTCTAGTCGGGGAGTTCCAACTGCGCCTCCTGTTGAACGCCTAAACGTCAAAGGGCGAGAGAGCCAAATGGGCAGGAAAGTCATTCTCATCTGTCTATTTTGCTACTCTCCAACCACGCGCCATGCCATAGAGGGGTGGCATGGCCGTTTGGGTTGGACCACGGCTGCCCGCACTAAGTTGGGCGGCACTATCCAAGGGGAGAGGCTGGGCGAGGTACCGGGTGGAGTCCGCCACCACCGCGGGGCATTGACACTGCCCTGCCGGAACATTACAACCGTTTCGGGACTAATTGCGAGGTCTTCGTAACTGCACTCACGGACTGATCGAGAGCCCCAACTCTCTTGAAAGAAAGAGGCCGGAATCCATAAAATTACCACTCATGAGGAACAATTCGCGAGGAACGCTCGTACGGCTAGACGAGGCCCTGGTAGGCTTGGATTGGACCTACCTGACAGACGTGAGGAGGAACCTTGGTATTGGTGCTCACCACGTAAGAGAAGAAAGATCGGACCGGGTAGAAGGACGAGGCGTCGTCCACTGGGGAAGAACTGATCACTCTTCCTTTTGTGAAGCGGATGGGCTTGTGTCCTTGACTTGCGGTCGGCGGGCCAAATGTCTGCGTACCTCCGAGTGAGAACCAGTCGCGCGATGGGGACATCGCGTTTTGAGTGGGGGGAAGGTGTGCCATCTACCAATCAATACGCATGAAAATAAGATTTGTAATTGGTCTTGGGAAAAAGGGGTCTGTCAAGATGGCCGGAACAGAAAAAAATTTGTAATTGGCTTTGTATGTGCCTGAGAAAAGGGGGCCTGGCAAGACGCCAGAGCAGAAAAGACTTGAGTAAGTGACATGGTATAAACTTGAGAAAATGGCTTGGCAAGATAGCCAGGAAGGAAAGGGCTGGTGTGATTGATTCTGCATACACCCAGGAAAGGAATTGGCTGTGTAATTGACTCATATAAGCTTGAAAAGATGAGAAGTGGCTGAGGGGTGAGCCAAGCATTACACATGGAGAGTCAATTAAGTAAAGGGCGAGAAAAGGCAGAGGATGATATGGATGCAGAATTGGCAGGACCTGAGAAAGGCCGGGAGGAATGACCCGGGAATAATGCATGTGGATTTGGCTATGTCTGAGCTTCGGGGAGAGGAAAAATTGTATTGAAAATGAGTGGATGTCCCAAGAGTAATGAATGAGACAAAGCCAAAATGAATTTTGCTCAAGAATGTTTTCTCAATGAAATGGGAAGAAAAATTTGAGATTACGAATGCAGCCTTCAAGACATTGTCGAGAGCGAGAAATAACGTACAATGAAAAACTAGTTGCAGGGCATGTCTGTGGTCAGACCCCTCCAAGGGGCGATGCTAGTCAACTTGATAAGGGAAAGAGACATCAAGCTGCTTAAGCTCCTTGACGTGTTGCTAGCTCGCACTTGGAGGAAGTCATGGTGAATGATCCTTGTGACATTCGCCGCCAAAACCTTCGTCTTACCGCGGTCCCTGGGGAGGGTGATGGGCTCGTCGCCCTCTCTTTTGTGGGACGATACCGGAGGTTGTTGGGAAGCTCTTAGGTATTTGGGAGTTCCATTGAGAAAGAGATACAGCAATAAGACGGACGTTAATGCACAGAGAATGTCACGCGCCCGTTACAAAGACATTATTGAGCTTGGGGACGTTACGCAATTCAAAGGAAACCCGGAACAAAAACTTGATCCCTCCGTACCCTCCCCCGCCCCAAGGGCGGAAACTTAAAGAAGGACCCGAGAAAAGAGTGGGAAAGACAAAAAGAACCCTGGCAAACTAACTACTCATCCCACCCCACTCCTCTTCCCTGTCTGTCTATCACTCCAAAATTCCTACTGATCATGGATTGGTGCGCGATGAGGACATCGGGAATGAGTGGGGGGAATATGTCGGGACTGGTGAGTCCCGAATGATTTCCCATCACTCGAGAGAATGTATATGACCAATTTGTGCACGACAGAGAAAACCGGAGGCAGGAATGTTGGAAAGAGCGGAAGCATGGGCACGGACAGTAGGAAGCCAGAGGCTGCCCAGAGTCGTCGAGGCCACCAAAACTAGAAAGGGGTTGTCTAAGCAGGAAGCGGCAATAGGACTGTGAGAGAACAGCAGGGGCGACTCTTTCCCCAAGGACGGAGAAGGTCCGCCGGGAAGTCGATAGTAGCATAGGAGGTGCGCAGCAAGGGAAGGAAGGAAGTGGGAAGGGACAGGGCGCAAGGCGCTGACGTGACGCGGCGGCAGGAGGGTCTGGGAGACCGCAGGGTAGGTGGGAGCCGGCACCCGGAACGGAATAACATGCGGGACGCAATAGGAGTCAGGGGCGGAGGTCGTTGTAAGGCGGAAGGACGACAAGAGCACCTAAGAAAGACGTGGTACAGGTGGGGCAGGAGTGTCGGGGACCACATGGGATCGAAGGACGGGGCGGTACCAACAGGACAAAGTGTCGGGGACCACGCGGGACCAGGGGACGGCGTGGTGCCAGCAGGGCAAAGTACCGGGAACCGCGTGAGACCAAGGGAAAGATGTAATGCAGGCAGACCGAAGTGCCAGGGACCGCAGGGGCCCAGACAAAATAGTGGCACCAGCGAGACCACTAGCAAGACGGGTATCGACGGTATAAACTGTCAGGAGCCGCCAGCGGGGGCTGAAGGCCGGATCCATCGGCGGAATAATCGGCGACCAGCCCAAGGAGGAGGGCG